ATGGCTGCAATATAACAAAGAGTGAAAAATTTAAGGGGGTCTGAATACTTTCCGTACCCACTGTATATATATATTACGTGTATATATATATATACTGTATATTACATGTCAATATTGCTGTTTGTTTATTGTTCAAAGGATATTATACCTCAGCAGGTCTTTAGGTCTCATGTCTCAGCAGGTCAGCAGTAGATTTACATTGCAAGACATAATGCACAGAAATAATTAATTTTTCCTGTTTGTTTGCCACTTATGATATAACTGACTATGCTTACATTAATTGCTTGCAAAGACAAGCATTTCATCCAGAAAATGTATTTTTTACGTTTTAATTTAAATTTAAATTTCAGTATGGACTGTGCATTAAGTCCTGCAGGCAAATGCAGTGTTTGTGTCCAGAGATTCTCAGAACATTTTTTTTTTTATGCCTGTATAGCTGTTACCTTTAATAGCTTTCTGCTTTCCATCCAAGGCCATCTTCCAGCGAGTGTGTCCTTGCACTTTGCAGACACATTAATAGCCATTTCTGACAGATTTCTCATGATACAGAGTTCTCCCGGACAACTGACCAATTTTTTTTTTCTTCCCCTTTTGGTAGTATTTCTATAAAGTGGTACGCCAGCTGCTGCCAATGGCATACAATCTGCTGAAGAGAGGTCTGTTTGGAGAGATACTGGAGGCGCACCTCACCAGCCGTTCCCAGGACAACCTTGACCAACTTGCTGCTGTCTGACGTATATTGAGAGGATGATAAGCTATTCAGAATGACTTCCTGTAAATGGTGTTGGGGTGGGGTCAGAGACAGATTGCACTGCAATAAATTACGCTGTTAGGTGCTGCTGCTTCATTGAAAATGCTACAAAGCCCAGGAAAGGTTAGTTTCTTAACCCTAGATTACTCTTTTCTAAAAGATGTATTGGTAATCCAAAATTTAAACATTTTGTTTTAGGTTTAATTGGTTTAACATAATTAAAATGAATAGGCACACATTTTTTTTTATTTTTTTTTTTAAAGCTCTCACTGCTCATTCGTGCATTAAAAGTGAAATCAAATTGAGTTTTTCTCGCCAGGTTTTTCATCCTGAGAATCAACATTTTGTGAGGAATACTGTGCCTTTCCAAACCTGAATTTCTTTGATTCACACTGTCAGTCCAGTAAATCATAGGGAAATGAGTTATAGCTGCTGAAAGTTCAGTACGTTGCATACATTATTTATGATTTTGCTTTCTGCATTTCCATTAACATATTTTGCATAACCCAGTTGCTTGAAATCAATCCTTCAATTTGCCAGTTTATTTGAGCAGTGACTGCTGAGTGCTGATCAACATCTTGGTTATGGTTTCAGATCGGTTTGTTTATTTTTGTGAAAGCGGAACGCTCTATTCATAGCAAAAGTGAGCTGATTCTTGTTAAAATGGTACCTTAAGTAATCTGTACTGAGAAACTTTTCAGTGTCAATTTCTTACTGTCTCCATCATCGTTATGATCATTCCGTTATCATTGTCCAGTACTGTTCCAAAGTAGTTTAATAAAGTGTATATTTTTGGGTTTTTTTTAATTGCCTGTGCTGTGTGAAAGAGGAAAGTGAATCATAATATATCCAATTGCTATAATTCTGCTTACACTGCAAATGTAAGTCTTTATTATCAGTATACTAAATATAGGTTTCAGTGGCCTAAAAAGTGTTTATAATATATATAATAAATGCAAAACATTTCATATACAGTCAAACCAAAAATTATTCAGACACCAGATATAATTTTTGATATTTTTCTTTACTAGTGGGTGCAGGACACTATAATTCATTTATGTAAGTGAGGATAGCAAAATAAAGTAAACAGTGACATACCCAAAAATTCTTCATACAGTGGACTACCAGTAAAACTGATAAAAAAAATTTGGGACCAAATAAATGTCTGAATTAATGTTGGTTTGACTGTATATAATTTTATATATTATTGTATTTTAATAAACAGAGAGAGATAATATATTCCATTTGTTATTAGCAACATGCAGTGCATTAAATATTACATCAAGAATTCCCAACCTGGGGTTAGTGAGTTTAATGAAAAGCTAATAATTAATTAAATCATAAAAGTGTAAATAAAACACTATATTTTTATGTTATCATGTTTTTATTGTGTTAGTTAGCTAGTATTTTTTAGTTATTTCTTTTACCTAATCAAAATAACCCAACTGCAGTTTGATTGATATTTATCCGAGTTATCTGTTTTTGCAAATGAACTCTTCATATATATATATGTATATATAATTATTTATTCATTTATTTATGTTTGCTTGATTTTTTAATTTTGTGTTTATGTAACTCCTGTATTACTGCAACTCAGTCTTTGCCATGAAGATAGCCTTAGATTTTGACATGGAAATAAAAATAAATAACTGCTGCTATTATATCCCTGCTATTTGGGGTAAGTTGTCACAGTGGAAACCTGCCGTTATATACCCTATACGAAAAACAGTAGTTATCTCCCACATAAAGTATAGCATAATTGCTTTGCACATACCTTGGTTTGATAATTTGCCATCAAATGAAATTCATATTTTTTGGTGTGCCTTAACTGTCCATCTACTTTTTATTCAGCCTTACTGTTTTTACAGGGTTACTGTATATTCAAAAATACAAGCTATAAAATCGATTTTGATTTTGCCTCGTCATGTGTAAGTGGGGGTTTGGCTTATGGAGGAGGGGAGTGAGGGAGAGCGAGAGAAGCACGGGAGGGGGCTACTCAACACAGCGACGATAACATCGCTCATATTGCGCTTCTGTTACACCATCGTGTATTTATCTCAGGCTTATCGTTAATTACCCTCATTCATCCTCCATCTCGGTCAGTGTTTCAGCACTGCCGCATCGGTGCCTGTGCATGTGAGTAGCGGGAGTGCCGCAGGACACCGCACTTGAGATCCGCACCGTACGTCACGCTACAGGACATTCGTCTCCACTCTCCAATACAACCACAACATGAGTCGGAGCTTCAGCCCTGACATCTGAGGCCGGAGCACGGGTCTCGACCACCGCAGTATCGGGACTGTCAGATTCCGTTTCGCGGACGACATCACGCGCTGAGCCTGAATGTCAAAAAGCTCGGCAGAAAGACAGAGCAGGGGCGGCTCCGTCCGAGACGTGAGGATGGCCTCTTCCAACAATACCTCACCCGAAGGAGGCTCTCCACCCCACCAGAACCGCATCCGCCAGGTCAGTGTGTGCGTGTGTGGAATGAACAAAACGTTCCGCTTTCTGGTGTTCAGTGTGTGTGTGTGTGTGTGTGTGTGTGTGTGTGTGGGCGAGAGTGTCACCCGTGTTTCGCGGTCTTGTGGTCCATGATGCGGAGGATGAGGCGTTGTCCTGGTTACCGAATCTTTCTAAAGCATCAGTAGACTATCGCAATGTAGCCTGTTTCATTTCATCATGGCAGCGTTGTCATAGTATCTATCTATCTATCTATCTATCCATCCATCCATCCATCTATCTATAATTCTGCTAAATTTACAGAAATTTGCTGTACAAATACACTAACAACAAAAGTTTATCATATAGCAAGCCTATCCATTAATTATAGCCAATATTCAGTCATATTTCCTTTTAGGTTATGTGCATTTTTCACTGTAAAGCCTATTCAGTGACTTATTTTTTACTTGCAAAAATGTTTTGTCTTGTAAATAATGTACATTTTAACCATAAATGTACAATTCATACTTCTCACACTTCATAAAACCATTTTTCTTTATGGTGAGCTAACAATATTTTGCCGTTTTATTTTTTTTTCCTGTATATGTATTGCATTCGCTTTTCATCTTGGTGCAGCCTATACGTGATGCTGTAGTGATCATGTGTGTTAACTGTTAGTGAGGTTTCACACCTGACAAACTGCACAGTTAGAGCAGTGTTGTTTTGATCCTTAGATGCCATTCCGCCATGTTTCCCAAGTAGCACTGCTTGAGATTCAGTTTATTAACTGTGGTGTTTTACGCATGAAATCACAGCTGATGACCCTGCAGAGCTTGTTAAATAAATAAAAAAGAGAATATCCAAACAGTGTTTTTTCTATCACATTCTCTTAAGAGCCCTACAATAACAAGCTTAACCTCACTCACCTTCCCCATCTGCTTATCTGAAATCTCACAAACCAATTCATCAATAAAAACCAGCCATAAATAAGTGATGGACTGGCTGAGTCATGTAGGGCATTAGCTTGTCTGCATGGATGCATAGATGCCCTTCTGTGTCACTCAAAGGTGTAGCCTGTGTGATTTGTTGCTCGGAGCTTTCCCAGAGATATTTTCCACTCTATTTTCTTTATTATTTCACTTTTAGAGCTGTCAAGGCTTAGTGCCTGTGGTGGGTTTTTCTTCATGGTCTGTTGAACTATATTTAAACTCTAGGTCTAAATTCGCCTTTCATCTCTCTATTCTGATGTATCCTAAATCAGTCTTCTCACTGTTTCCGCTCTGACATCATTGTTGCACCCTTTGCCAAGTGCTTTTGTCAGATTTAGCTGGTATGAATTAAACTGTTCATCCATGACAACGCTTTGCATAGCTCTTGTATCAATTCTGAGTTTATATCCCACAATTCAGACTTTTTTCTCAGAATTGCGAGTGATATAAACTCAAACTCCACTTTGAGAAAAAAGTTGTTAACTGTTAGGTAAACAAGAATTGTTTTTTTAAATTCCTTTGTGGAAACGGGCTTCCATATACACAGACCTGCATCTTGAATTTAAAAATAATAATAATAATAGTAATTTTACTTAATTGCAAAAAAGGCCAAATATTACCTAATTAATGATGCTAGGTTGAAAAAATATATATATATTTTTTTACATTTAACATTTGTTTCCACAAAATTATTTTTCATATTATGTGTTTGTCAGCTGCTCTTATCAAAATAACAAAAGCAGTCAAATTACGATAATTATATTTTAACTTACAATCTGCAAAGGAGTGGAAAATCTTTTCCCCCCACAAAATCTGTAATTTTCAGTTGCTGTTTGCATGTAGAAAAATAGCATCATACAATAAGTTTACATGTTCTTCTGTCACTGGCCATGATTCTAACCTTGAAATCATAAAATAATGCATTCAGAATCATTCAAACATATGAAAACCTGGCACAAAGGAAGCTTTTCTGGTGATTGATGGATAGTACAAAATTTCTTCACCTTACAAATGGTTGTCGCTAGTAAAATGCTACAAAATGTGCATCGTGTTGTGAGAAAGGAGTATTTTTTTTTGAATCAGCACCCCAAAATTAGTAAGAAACAACATGTATTGGATTTTATTCAGCAAATATGATACAAATATAGATTATATGGAATATGCACAGCTTAAAAATATCATGTTACCTGTGGTCCATATGCTAAAAGACTGGGCAGAACTCGTTTTCTAAAGTTATTTCCTGTCAAAAACACACTTGTGCAGTTTCCTATTGGATCCTGAGTTATGATATGAGAGAGTGCTGTCAGGGTCTCTCTGGGTAATTAGATTCCAGTAATGGACCAAGCACTGCAGGCGTATACACCCAGGCGTCATCTTATTGCATGAATACCATCTACTGGCACTCCTAAAGTCTTTGTTCACTGGCTAAAACAATGTTAATTTGAATATGTGGAAGACTAGCAATTAATAAATGCAGTGTGATCGTGGTTTGGATGTAATTACAGCAGTCCGTTTAGGAAGTAATATTGCATCATTTAATTCTATTAAACTGCAATCTATTCCTAAATTCTGTGCACTAACTTCTTGAGCAGGATGAATAGAGGAGGGGAGTGGTCCGAGAACAACAGGCCTACTAAGTTATGGTGCTTGTGATGCAGGTCTAAAAATAGGCTGCCATCAGTCTAGTCATTCCTGCCGTAATACTCTTGTTCCCCTCAGGAGTGGGTAGTGTGGTTCTACCTGCAGGGCTGGTTGGGAGGCTGATATTCGATTGCAATTCAGCTGCATGGAACCAGTTGTGAGTGGATGGAAGAGTGGCACAAACACTGCTGTACAGAGCACTGTAGTGGGCAAAGTGTTTGGTATTTTCAGCATACTTGGGATGTTCAAGCTATTTGTGGGACTACATTTTATTTTTAAATATTTTGCAAATATATGACAAAGAATTGACCTTTTCTAAGGTAATAATGTGATGAGATTTAGCTGTAAACTGGCATAGTGAGACTTTTGAAAGTCTGGTCTACTTCATAGCTTATTCTACTAAGAAGAACCCTAAGAAGTCTGCATCTTACAATGCAGTCACATTAGTGAAACTTCATTAAAAAGTCCATTGTCAATAGTGTAGCGATCTATGAAATACAGCTCACACAGAAATCACTTTCAAAACAAGCAGCTTTCTGTTGAATTCATGTCAGCAACTTGAAATCTACAGACCTCCTGTTGGGATTTTGCATTTTTCACCCTCACGCGAAACTTCTTTTGACTGGAAATTTCACCAAGCAGCAGTAAATGACCACATCTTTAGACAGAAAGAGACCTTCTGACTAATAGTGTAACAGTGTCTGTCCACATTTTCAGGGCCTGAAAGTATATTTACCTTAAAGCATTGTAAACCATGAACCTGACTATCTATGAGGTGAATCATCACAAACTTTAATTTAAAACAAAAACGTATTTTACAATCAGACAAAAAGACAAATGTCCAAGACAGTTTACTTGACAGCTTTAATGAGGGAAAGAACTACAAAAAACTGTGAATGACAACTGATTGGTGTAGATTTTTAGCATCATGGGTAATTTAGTTTTCTCACCAGGAATTTTGCAGTTAAATTATTATTTAAAAAAAATGAAATAATGCAGGCTGATAGCTTCAAATTAAGTATATACCATGGATTAACAACCTTGTTAGGGTTATAAGCAGTTCTGGAGAATTCCTCTATAGGCTTTTGATATGTAAAGGTACTGGCCACATCTCATTCTGCTTATTTTATTTCAGCAGTTTTAGCAACTTTTCTCATTTTCTTTTAGTAAAATATCTATAAAAAAATAAAAATAGCTAATTAAAATAACCATTTAGACTTATTAAAAATAACAATGACACATACACATCAGGATAAACCTTAAAATTCAAATTAAAAGAGAAAATATGGTCCTGCTATGTGTAATATGCATCAGGTGGTCAGTGAACATACTGTGTGTGATCTAATAACATGAACTATTAGTATATCATTGTATTCATGTTACATTGATTTGAAAACTCTCCGAAGATTTAGATCCAACAGGAATAATTCTGTTAACATTTCTTGTATATGTATTAATGAGAATATTATTGCCTGTCTGATATTCAGAGGACTCCTCCCTTTCTATCATTCATTCACTTATACTGCATTACCTTGAGGCTATAGATGCTCTGTAATTCTGCAACCCCTTCAAGTTCACATACAAAGTAACTAATAGTCTTTTGAATAGTAGAGAGTGGAATTATCAATCTGCTGTAATGTCTTTGAAGTTTTCTCATTAATATATCACCATGTTGCAAACAAGATCCTGCTGTTTCGTGTGCGAATTCATGTATTATACTCAATAATTTATGGCACTGCTTTCAGCTGTAACTTATTTTACAGCCGAAACTATCTGGACAGGTGCTATACAATGTGTAGATCTTGTGTGGCTCGCCGTTTCTGTTCATCATTTCTCTCTTGTCCTCTATTTGTCCATAGTTCACTCACTCACTCAGTCTCTCTCTCCCTCCTCCCTGTGGGGGAAGTATGATGTGATGTACAGGAAGGAGACTGTAATGGAGCAGAAGGGTTTTTTATTGCATTACACAGCTGCATGCTGTTGCATTGTGGGTAGTGGGTGCCAGGCCAGGCCTGCCCTCTGAGGACTGTTTCTATAGCAACCTCGCTGTCCAGCGCTGTCTACACACAACTTAAAACTTTAATGATCATCATTATTGACCATGATCATCCATTATCATCATTGCCCACATTATGATTTCGATGCCATATGAAACTTTGCACAGAAGCTATAAATGTTAATGTTTGCTAAACTGCAGCAGGCTGTATGGTAGATTTCCACTTCTTTGTACCACTGAATTTGAATATTATCATAACTATTACAAGATTAAAGTGCTACGTTCTTGACATTCTTTAAAGTTATGAATCAGTCCTTACATACACCATTTGACAATAATTCAGTAAAGGGTAGCTGACATAAAACATAAAATAATTCAAATTTTACTGTCTTATTCTAATG